AGCACTTTCGTGACCACGGGCTGAGAGTCTTTGCTAGATTTTGGCATTTAGCAACTGGCATACGGTTTAATGTGAAGTCAACAACAACAACAACAACTGTTGGTTAGTCGGGCGTTTTGTGTGTCCCACCCTGTTCGTTGTAGGACATGCAATCTCCATCAGTTTACAAACGTACTTACTTTCAGTTTGGTAGACTGCAGAGTATATATATGCGGCTGACGTGCGGGCACACGGGAGTGGTCTCACCGTTTAAAAAAAAAACTGTTTAGATGGGGGGGGCAAAACGGCCTCACGTAAGTCCGTCTGTCTGTCTGTCTGCTGTCTGTCTGTCTGTGACCAGCCTCGACATAAACTATTATCTAGCAGATTCCAGCCCATTTCACCATCTCGGCACCAAATTGCAATCAATCTAAGACAGACGTAACAACATATTCGCCTGATTGAGAGCGTAGCATCTGATTGAGAGCGAGATTGCGCGATACGCTGTAGCCGGACTACCACTGAGAGGTGGAGCTTGCTGTGTAGCTTGAATTGAAGGGCTAGCCCGTAGCTTCAAGCCGCTACCCTGGTCATCCTGTGGGAGTCTCTCGTTGTGGAGCTACAGCGGGGAGCAGAAGCTACAGCAGAGCCCACCGCCCGACGCGATACCGCCCTGAAACAGTTTGAGCAGAAATAGCCAATCTGGGCAAATCTAGCAACTTGTCTAGCTCCTCGCTGCAGCATCCGATGACGATGACACGCATATGCTCGCGAAGCTGCTGATGAGACCTTCAATTTGCACCGCTTCTTGGAATAGCCCGTCCCCTACTTGCCAAGAAATGGCAAGAGGCGTCTGGACCCGAAATTTCAATTTTTTTGGCTCTCGCTCTCAATCAGATACTTCGCTCTCAATCAGGCGAATATGTTGTTACGTGTTCACAACAACAAACAATATTTTGCCCGAGCTGCCCCAACTGCTACCTTTTCAATCCATGCTCGGTGCGTGGAGATAGTGCAGCGTCGGTACCCAGCTTGAAGCAGGGAAGTTTCTGGCCCCTTGCAACACCGAGAGGAGGCGTCGTTTGATTTTGCACCAAGACAGATAGCCTCGCACACCACACACCACACACACACACACTTCACTTCCTGCATGATCCGTCAGAACATAGGGAAAAAACGCGCACACACACACTTCCACCACGCACGAGCGTGCGTGGTGGAAGGCAGTAGCAACAGCAGCAGTAGTAGACTGATGGACTGACGTGGAATCGCTTTGCACTGGAGCCTCCAGTCGCATCGGCAATGAGCGGTGTCATGAACCAAGATTTGGCACCACCATCACCCGTACCTGGACCTGCGCCACGATGCCCAACGGAAGTACGGTATTCATGTCCCCTCTGCATCAGCAAAGGATCAACGAACCTGACGGCGAGGAATCTGGCTTCCCACCAAAAACGTCAGCATAAAGGTCGAGGAAAGGAGCTACTGTTACTGTACCCATGTATGTGTGTT